CCTTTTAGGCAACATGGCAAAAGAGAACAATGGCTACTATTTAGTTCAACATATCTGGAGGGCAATCAGTTAAAGAAGATTAAAATATAATGATAGTAGCAATATTTTCATATTATGATAAAACTTTCTGGTTCTACATTCCTTTTCATTAACAAGGTCAAATGATGTGAAGATCAAACTACATTTTTTCACTATTTTGTGACTTGTTATCGTATTTGGCAAGGAACCTGGGCCAAATGTATCCAGTTATCATGTGAAATAGTAGACTGCCTGTTGTCCTGTTGTTACTTTTCAAAAGGATGTTTCAAAAAAATACATATATTGTTCCACCATCAAGGACCAAACTCTTGTGATGGTTTTACAAGTAATACCATGACAGGACAATGAAGTAGCCACAGGAAACAGTGATATATACATTTCTATGTATTATATTGTGGATGAATGTATACTCAGTAAAAAGAAGAGGCCTGCCAATACTAAATGTTGTGGTTATTGTTGTTGTTGTCGTCGTCATCATCATCATCATCATCCCACTGTAAATTGTCAGTATTCATGGGTTTGTAGCTATGATTGCTATAAAAACTCAGGCTCATTTAGGGCAGCAATCTTCAAGCCACATCCTTCAGAAAATCCTGCCAACATGCTGAGATAAGTCCCTTGCAATAGTGGATTGAGACCTGAGACTTTTGAGTTATATAGTAGAACTGATATAAATTGTTATATATGTCCTTATTGCTTTGCTTAAATATTTGCTTGTCTTTTAGCATATGACAGATACAGTGTAAATATTCTGAATGGACTGATGTCCCTATTAAGCCAGCCCAACCAGAAAGCTTCATAAGTGAAAAATTATTCATGTTTAAAAACTCTAAAATGTAATTCCTGGCTATATATTGAGCCCAATCAATACTTTTCTGAGATAGAGAATAAAATACTAGCACAGATGAGCTATAATACAAGATAAATTCCTTGGCTGTTTTTCATAAGTATATAATATGTGTAGCAAATGTCAAGAGTACTGACCAAGGTCTCTGTTTTTTTTCCTATATTCCTGACTCAGCAAATTTTCCCCATGTTCCTGGCTCAGCAAATAAATAATTCACATTATCCACAATATTTAAAAGTATTGGATTGGAAGCGGGGAGACTCGGATTCAAGTCACCTCCAGCCATGAAAATTCAATGAGTCAGACAGATTCTTTCAGTCAAAATAAACAGATATGTGAGTAGGAAGGTAGGTAAGTAGATACAGAGAAACAGGCAAACAGACATGGTGTTTTCCCCTTTACCAAGGAATTCATTCAGAAAGTCAGCTATTACTGAGTCTTGAGGTAAAATCTAGGATTATGCTATGTACATTTATGGCAAGCAAGATCACTTGTTCATGTAGTAATAAAATGGAAGGATGAAATGGCACATTCTCTCATTTTAAAACTTGGTTATTCTAAAATGCTAATAATAAAATAAAGGTAACTTGAATCAATTCTCTGAAATTTGAGTCAAGGAAAATAACAATGATCATTAGTGGAGGAAAATCAACAACTTGGGTTACACAGAGTACTGCATATTTGCAAGGTTACCTGGACAACTAAGAATGTAGCATTGTTCTATTCCGTGGCACATGAATGAATTCCCAAGTGACTTAACTCTTTTATTAAGCTGAGGAGCATTTTAGCTTAGAATATTTATTACATTTTAGAATATTATATGTGTATGTGTTTGTGTGGGGTTTTTTAGCTGTAGTTGTTCTGTTCTCTAATGTCTGTTTTTAGTGATTCTGCTTCTTGGCTACACAACTTTCTTATTTTTATCTCCATTCAGATCCACACTAATCATAATAGAGAGATGTTTGATCATATTCTCCTGATTTATGGTTTTATATTACTCCAGCTTCAAATGCATGCACAGAACCTGGCAAGAGAGAAATGGGCTTTAGCCAGCTTGAAATGGGCATCAGCAGGCTTAGAATTGAATTGTTTTATTGATGGTCCATAATAAAGCTTCATTTGAAGATATAATTTTGACTGCAAAGGCCCATCTGATTTCACAAGTGCATGTTTATCCTAGCCATTTTTATCCTCTGCACATAGAAGCATTGTAGCCGATATTCATATTTTCAGTGAGAGAGGAGCCCATTTTTAAAATTTCAGCATGATTTTTAAAGAGAAAAAAAAAATCTTTTTAGTGGAACTAATTTTCTCTAGAGAAACGCTTCTAAAAACTTAACTCATAGAAAGATGGCAAAGTAAGGTATCATCAAAACATTCTTCAGCCAAATGAATATCTGCAAATACTTGTCAAAGAAACATATTTGTGCTGATACCACATCCCTAAGTGACTTGAAAAATCCTCTTGATATGTGTAATTGTGAACATGTGAGATTAAATGTATACAATCTTGGCAAATTTAAGACCTGTAGACTTCAACTTCCAGAATTCTGAGCATTGAAGTCTATAACTCTTAAAGGTTGGACACACTCCTGATGTATACGGAAAAATTCACCACAGATTAATACAAATATCTGTAGGCATGTGTGCAAATACCTGCACAAAGTGAAACAACCTTAACTGCTTTATAAATCAATATTTTTAGCCCAGCAGAGATGGTGACAACGACCAAATCAAATTCTGGTGTTCCCTATATAACTCCTATAAACAAGTTTCTTGAGTGTCAATGCTCCCTATCCTTCTATCTCCACCCACTGCTTTTCTTTTCAAATGGTTATTTTTTTATTGAAAGTTTTTACAATTTTACAGTAAAATCCCTCTCCCACTACCTCCCTACCCTCCCAAAAAACCCTCCTCCCCTCTTCCCAGAGCTGAATACAGGGTTAACTAAAACTAAGAATACAAAACATTTAAACTTAAGAAAACCTCAAACAAAAATTACATTAAAAAAAAGAAAAAAAATCCAAAAAATATATATAATAAAAAATAATCTTAAACTTTAAACTTTAAACATAAATTATTCAAAAACTAAATAATATCTTTTAATATCATACTTATACTGTATAAAGTTTATCCATCTTTTCCACACCAAGAGATATTTCTCTTGTGATTGATCTTTCAAGTAAGCCAAAATTTTTGCCATTTCAGATAAATAAGAGACTTTAAAAAACCATTCCTCCAAAGTAGGCAAAAATTCCTTCTTCCAATATTGTCCTATCAACAACCTTGCCGCTGTAATTAAATTTAACATTAAAATAATTTCTTTATCATCACAATCAACAATAATACCTAACAAAAAAAATTGTGGGGTGAATTTTATCCTTCTCTTAAAAATTTTTTAAATATTCCACCATATCTTTATCCAAAAAGCTTTTATACTTTTACATGACCACCAAATATGATAATACATTGCATCCAAACAACCACATCTCCAACATTTAGGTTGCAAATTTGAATACATACGAGACATCTTTTGTGGATCAAGGTGCCATCTATAAAACATTTTATAAAAATTTTCCCGTAAATTTTGAGCTTGCGTGAATTTAACATTCCTCACCCAAATTATCTCCCATGTTTCTAATAAAACCGGCTCATCAAAATTTTGAGCCCATTTGACCATGCAATCTTTAACTAATTCTGTTTCTGAATCCAATTTGATTAATACATCATAAATTCTTTTTATATGAGATCGGCTTTGATCTTTAATTTGTTTCAACAAATTTTCATCCTCTCTAATCAAACCCGCTTTATAATCTATCTTCCACCTTTCCAATAATTGTCTATACTGAAACCACGAATAAATAATATTTTCTTGTGTTAATTCATCTATATGTTTTAATTGCCAATTCTTCCCATCCCAATTAAGTAATTGTTTATAAGAAATACTATCCATCTTCACTCCTTTCCTTATTCCTTCTATTGCATGCCCCGGGATAGCCCATAATGGAATTCTTGAGTCTATTCTATAATATTTCTTCCAAACTCGAAGTAAAGAAATTCTTAAAATATGAGACTTAAAAGCCCTATCCACCTTCTTATTATAAATTAAATAGACATGCCATCCATATAATAAATCCCACCCCTCCAAAAGGAGTATATCTACATTTGTTAAATTAATCCAATTACTAATCAGTGTTAAAACCACGGCATCATAATTTTCAAGTGATTATTGATGTGGCACTGTGGCAGCCATTTCATGAATGGACAGTCCTGATTCTCTCAAGGTAGCCCTAATAACCCATGAGATGCTTATAAAATTCCAAATATAACCATTTATCAAAAACAAACAAACACAAAAACTGGGGAATCACTAGATTAGTGAATCCAGTCAATTAAAGAGTAATTTCCATTCCTTCCATAATTATCTCTCCTGATACTACATAATTAACATTATTAAATCCACAGGAGTTTTTAAAAAGGTTCTATTTGAACATAAAATTAATAAAACATATGGATGTGAGCAACAGGATTGGTCTGGATGCCTGTCAATCAATGGTAGTTTCTTGATTTGTTAAGTATTAGGTATTTACCATTCAACAGACTATTTTTACAGTATTAACCACAATTTAATTAAAATTAAAGACATTGCTAGTAGCTCTTTTTTTCTATTACTGAAAGTAAACAGCGTTTCATTTACATTGAAATTCAGAAATGAAAATTAATGCTCTGTTCCCTAGTGTATTCTCAATCAGCATTGGCTCCTCCACCTGTTTTCATACCTGGTTCTATCATGCATGTACAAATCTTGTAAATATTTTGCCAAGTTATCTGAACAGATCTTGTATTGAAGAACCCAATTCAGAATATTGATTTTTTGGACCCAAACAAGTAATGCCCGTTTACTGAAAGATACTGGTTTCCTCAGTGTTTGCTCAGGGGAGGAGAAAGAGAAAGAGAGGACAGTCAAACTACAATGTAGCTAGTTTGACCTATGTTTTACTATATACTATGTTTATGTAAATATTCTCCTACATCTTCACATGTCAGGATAGCAATAAGAGACCAATTAATAAAAAAATGTGATAAGTGATTTAGGTGTGTGTTGGCAGTGTAAAAAAGAAATGAGAGAGACCTTGAACATTCCCAGTTCCTTAAACAAGTTTCCAATCCAGTCAACCTAGTGAATTATAACCATATATTATCTGATGGATTTTTTTTATTAACTTCTGGGTTGGTTCATTCTGAACTCAAAGTTACAAAAATTTCAACCAAACTACAGATGAACTGTATGTATTCAGAATGAATCAGCCCAGAAATAGACCTTGATAAAAATACCTAATGCTAAATATTTCTTAACAGGTATGGATACTATCAGTACATATCTATTCTAATTATCACTCTGTATGGTGGTTGTTTGGGCTTCAGAAGAAAAATAAGGAAGATATAGAAGCAAAAGAGAAAACAAGTGGCTTTGTGATTAATATTTATTAAGCTGCAAAAATGCATGTAGATAGATCAAGAAATAGATTAGATAGATGATGATCGAAAGCTATAGAAAGATAGATAGCAAGCATTATCTTTAAAAAGGCATCTTCATTTCTTTTAAAATAATTGCCATCTATCATTTAAAAAGAAAAGTATTCTCTTTTGGGATGAATTATCACTTTTAGTTACAACAGACAAAATCAGATAATTGACTAAAATTATATCATAGCTTTGATTTACAGAAGGGATACATACTGAATATTCATTACTCCATTTGCTCATTTGTTCATATCTGAACTTTTTCCCACTAAAGTCATTGTGAAAATCAAATCAACAATATAAAACATGGTGGAAATAACAGTGCTTAAGAATATGCATCAGCAAATAGTGGAAGCAATAAAAAATGGATAAACAAAGCAGAAATGAATACATGATTTTTTAAAAAAAGATATTGAAGGACTCTTTTCATGTGTGTTTCAAAATCTTGCAATTAATCAAGTTGACTGCTGCTATAATTCATACCAGATCCTGAAGCAGGCTCACTGAGGTGGATAAGATTTTATCTTTTGGAATGCTCCATCATATAACATATCACAGTTTCTTGTACTTTGTTGCTCTGGAGCAACCGAAAAGGAATACATTGTACAAATCGTGCCTTTATCAAAAGAAAGAAAAGGAGAAAGGGGGAAAAAATTAAGATTCCAAATATGATCTTACACTTTTATGTATTAGAACAACACAACATTTGGTGCACCATAACAAGATTAAGCTAAAGGCATTTTGGGGCCAGATATAGGGCTTCAAATCTCCCATCACAGGCATTGTCATGCATGGCACCCAAACACAACCAAATTACTTTCCTTGGCAGTGAAAATATCTTTTAACAATACATTGGAATTGTTGTATTATATTCTTGCTGCACATTCATGATTCAGCTCAACTCTCAGCAAGCTTCTAACTGTTGTCTAACTGTTGTCCCACATTGCTTATTCTAAGTTACTTGAATAGACATTCAAGTGACATTGGGCCATTCAGATGTTTTGGATTCCCATTGCCATAATATCCAGGCAGCATAGACAACAATTATGCTGGTGGGAGTTTATGGGCATTAAAGTTAATAATGCATGGAAGGTATCAAGAAACAGTTTTTCTTATCACTGATATCCAAGATGTTTCTTTAACAAAACATGCCAGGAATTGTCTGGTTACAAAACCGGGGGATTTTCTACATGCAAAATATGTGATGTAAGCTAGAGATTCTTCACCATTATAGTGTTATAAACATTCAGATGAAAATCCATAGTCAATATGGATTCAGCGGAGCACCAAAAAGATCTAAAGTTTTCTTCAGTATGTCATAATACAAAATGTATTATCTAAAGTAAGAATGTGCAATCACTAGTCTCTGTATCATTCATGGTTCTCAGCTTTTTTTTTTTACAGGCAACTTAATTTTCAGATTTTAAAAAAAACAGAAATAAGAAGCAAGAGTTGATTTTAATTCTGTGACAGGATTCTTCACAAATCTCAACAATTCAATGTAGTATTTGCATGGCCATATAAAATCATATAATATATGGGCATGCCAGTGGTCTTCTTCCTGAGAAGACTAGTTTTAGAGAGTGAGTTACTGAAGCTAAAACTGAGGGTAGGGCAGGGGTTCTCAACCTTGGCAACTTTACGACTTGTGGACTTCAACTCCCAGAATTCCTCAACCAGCAAAGCTGAAGTCCACAAGTCTTAAAGTTGCCAAGGTTGAGAACCCCTGGTAGAGCGTCAGTGTCTCATATACTGCTAGCTAAAACTCAGAAGAATCTTTTGCAGCTTTTCAGATTAACAATTTTTTTAATTAACAGGCATGAGTTATAACTTGCTTCAACAGATGTGATCATCATCATCATCACATTAGGCCTTTTAATAAAATGCATTAGTTGAAAAAAATGCTACCAGACTCCTAATTTTGAGCTATAATAGACTAACACAGTACAAAACTGCTGCCAGAATAATATTTCTCAACCTTATCAAGTGGAAAAGCTGTGGACTTCAACTCCAAGAATTCTCCAGCCAGTTTTGAAGTCTTCAAGTTGGCAAGGTTGAGAAACACTGCTAGAGGAAAGCACTATATTTTTTGCAATCTAATTCAAATTCATAACTGGATTACCAAGATTTCATGGGCTAAACATCCAAATGTTTCATCACCAAGTGTAACATATCTCAGTGACTCTTGTGCAAACTCTTCTGCTGCTTTGGTGATCAAATTAGGCTGTTTATGCATGATCATCGGAGTAGAAACAGCAAAGGGAGTCACTGCCTAAAATAAGGAGAAAAAAACAGTCACAGTTTCACAGTTTCACATTCCACAAGCCCCAATCTATTCAGTTGATTTAATTCAATGCTTATTGCAAAAAGAAAAAAAAAAGAAATGTAATTACCTGTATCACAATTCCTTTTGACTTATATTCTGCTTGAAGTGCTTTGGAAAATGTGTGTACAAAAGCCTAGGTAGAATTACAGAGAAACAAAGGGACAGTTTTAAAGAATATTACATTGCTTGTACACATTTATGAAATTATTTTGTAGATCTGAAGCCTGATTTCATTCAAGGCCCTTTTTTAAAATCTTTCCATTTGTTCTTCCTATCACTATTTGGTGTCATTGCTGAATACTGAGAATATAGAAAGTTGCATCCAAATTTTGTTCAGTTAATTCAGATATAAAAGACCCCTTGCAACATATCCAGGAATCCCAATCAGAAGAAGGCTGCCTATATAAAAAATTGTCATTCTTTCCCTCTAGTGAACTGGAAATTATTTTTACAACTAACATGTTCAGGTATTCCAAATGAATATTTGAAAAAAGAATATTAATTTAATAACTGGAACAGGTAAACAGGATTGCTATCATAATGGGGAAGAAAGATAAAATGCTCAAAATAAAACTGACAGTTTACCCAATTCTCCCCCTCAGGTTTTGGACAAATCATATTTGTTTCCTGGTAACATTTTTAAGTAAATTGGGATTAAAATAAAAACACACTTTAGACATAGTTTCTGCCTTTTCTTAGGTCTTGCTTAATTTGTGCTAGCAGACTAGTAAATGTGTACATGGGCTGATGGGAAGTTGTCCTATGTTCCTGTTTCATCATTCATGGGAGAAAAAAACTTTCTGTTTGGTCTTCCAGTTTCTTTAACATCAGGGCTCTGAATAACCTTTGCAGAGTTCATCACAATGGAAGTATATGATGTCTGATTTCAACTTTTAGAAATGGCAAGTATTTTTTTAATATCATGAAACCAATAACCATAGATTAAAAACTGAAGTACAAAAAAAATTAAAGTCATACCTTAGATGCAGAATAGATTGCATATAAAGGACAAGGAAAGGTGCCAATGGCTGATGAAAGATTAAGAATTAGACCTTTTTTTCTGAAATGTAAATTGAAAATAACTTTTAGGTATCTTGCATGCACTAAACTAATACACTTACTCAGGTTTCATAGATGCCAGTACTTACCCAAGCTCAATTTTCTTAGGAGATTTATGGCATTTCATTGAGTTAATAAGTACTTACCCTTACATAAGACAAAGTCTGCAAGATCCCTGTCTTTCATTTGATGTCTGGAGAAATCCACCATAAAAAAAATCCTGCCAGGGGTTATATCAGGGGTTCCCAACCGGGGGTGCGAGACGATATTCCAGGGGGTGTGAAAACTTGGGTTCTCAAAATTATAGTGTATATGCATAATTCATTGCCGTTATTTTGAACTTTTGTAAGGGGTGCAAGAATATATCAGAAGCATTCCAGGGGCGCAGGATATAGAAAAGGTTGGGAGCTGCTGCTGTATATCCTTCAAGGCCAGCCTGCAAACTGCTAGAATAACATTAACTAATGGATTCAAAAGCTGGTGAATTTATAGATCATTAGTGTTGCGTCCTTGGCGGGAAAACAGACACGAGAAGCAGCTGGAGTTCTCAGTTTCTTTTATTCAGCGTTCAGCTTACAGGAAGATGGCTTCAGCTTCGCCCAAACGCCTCGCAGCCTCTTATATAGGCAACTCCCGGGTAAATGGGTTACTTTTCCAGCGCCAGCACCCGCGCATGCGCACGGCGCTGGCAACAGCCTGTCTGGTCCCGGGCAGCTTTGCACCTGCCCGGGACTGCCTGCAAACGCCTGAGCCGTTTGCAAGGCTCGGGACATAACACCCTTTCCCCCGGGCTAAAACTACTACCAACATACAACATTTATTTTATATGACATTTTGTCCAGTGCTCCCACTGTTTATGGCATTTGCCTTGCCAGCAATTGTTATGTAGTCCAGGTACTTAGAGATTCTTGTGCTCTTGTAGACTCCCTCTTAGTAGGGGAGATACTGGCATAAGTCCCCTGAATGGAGGGGGAGTGAAGCCCACTAGTTCTTTTATTCAGATGCCCTGGTGTTTCCAAGGACTGTGCCCCGATGCCTGGCCTGCTTGCTTGCCCACCGGGCTAGTCAGGCCAGGCTTCTGTTGCTTTGTGACATGGTTGACCTGCCATAGCTGTAGACACTCGGGCCCTTGAAGTGATAGCCGCTGCTGGGCGTCTCTGTAGAACCTCCTAGGTCAGTCCAAGACCTGTCAGGAGGCTGTCCATTCCCTGAACCCCATTCTGTGTTCGGGCTCGTGTGGGTTTCTGTACTTTCCCAAAACTCAGGGGTTCCCTGATTTGTGCTAGGGTTGTTGTAGTCGGGACTTGGTTCCTCGACTAGCTCTGTGTATGTTTGACCCCCTGTAGGATTTGGGGTAAGGTCAGGCCAACTTTGGGGATTGTGTGCCCGCTCTCTTGCGGGGAATGATTTGTTGGGATGCCCCCGGGTATCCTCCGTGACTGGAGTGCTGTGTGACGTGTGTGGAACGTGAGTATGCCCCCGGGGTGACTCCCGGGCTGGAGTAGGCGTGAGTGCCTGTTGTGTGGGTAAGCTCCATGACTTCCTTTTCGGAGCAATTGCGGAATCTGGGGACGGGCCGTTTGTGGCTCCCTCAGTGGAGATGGGCAGTAACTCTTGCCCTTCCCTTTGCTCCAAAGGGTCCCCTCCCCCCCTGGAAAAGACCCAGGAGTCTCAGCAGAAAAGTCTCGCCTAGAGCGAAGTTGGTCGATGTGCCGACGTAGGACACGACCGTTGTCCAGGGCAACCTCGTAGGAGAGAGGACCTGTGATACTGGACACAGAAGCGGGGACCCATGTATGACCAGGCCCGTAATTGCGAGCCCAAACCGGGGCACCCACAAGTAGTTGTCTAGTTGCCCTAGGATGTGAGGTAGATGAAGGCAGTCTGTCCGGATGCAACCGGTCAAGTCTCGTAGTAAGTTGGCGCCCCCAACGAAGTTCAGCTGGACTTCTCACTGTAGAAGTGGACGGTGTGGTGCGATAAGAAAGGAGAAAGTCAGCCAACCTGTGATGCCAGTCCCCGTAGGTGAGTCTCTTCAAGGCGTCTTTGCGATGCGCACCATGCGTTCAGCCATACCGTTGGTGGACGGGTGAAAAAGGCGCAGACGTGCATGACGAAGCAGGTTTGCCTGTAAGAGAAAGCTTGGAATTCGGGAGGAGGAGGTGAAATTGAGGGACCGTTGTCGGACACAATGGGAACTTTCTGGCAGGCCCGTGTGCAGCACAAAATCCCCCCTCAGTCACCTGAATAGTCTTTGCAGTGGTGGTGGATGAGGACAGTGCACAACCTCAAGCATTTTGAATGGGCTTGTCAACAAGGACCCAAGAAGAACTGGCCTGAAAAGGGCCCAGCGTAGTCAATGTGCACACGTAGACCATGGGACTGTGTTTCCTCCCATCTATGCACAGGAGCTTGGGGCATCTCTGGGCGAGATCGTTGGCACAGTGGCATGCGTGTACCCTTAGCCTCAATAGCTTTATCTAAAGCAGGCCACCACCAAGTGGCTGCTGTGCAAGAGCCGTCATACGAACAATGCCAGGATGACCCTCGTGGAGGGATTCTAAGACCCTAGTCCTCATTGAGGTGGGAATGACAACTCTGTTTCCCCAAAGCAAACAACCCTGAGAAAGGGACAATTCGTTCCTTTTGGACCAGAAACTCTGAAACTCAGGACTAGGGCAGTGCTAAGGCCACCCGGACAGGACCCAGGAGCGGACACGTGAAAGTGTGTGATCTGTACCTGTTTCAGCGGTAACATCCCTGGCACTAAGAGGAAGCTCGGGCAAGGCTTGGATTGATAGAATGGTGACAGCTGGCGCGGGGTCAGCTTCTACTACTGGCAGAGGCAACCTACTGAGGCCATCAGCATGGCCCATTTCTTTCCCAGGCTTGTGGAGTAATGAAAAATCATATGCAGACAAAAAAATAGACCACCTAAGCATTCTAGGAGAAATGATGTGGGGAGTCTGCTTACGTGTGGTAAACAGTCCCAGCAGAGGCTTATGGTCAGTGAAGACCGTGAAATGCCTGCCATATAGAAAATCGTGGATTTTTTTAATTCCAGCAACAACAGCCAGAGCCTCCCTGTCTATCTGAGCGTAGTTGCGCTCGGCAGAAGACAGTGTTCTGGAGTAGTATGCAATAAGAACCTGAGTTCCATCAGACCTGAGGTGACTTAGGACAGCTCCAACCCCGTAGGGGGACGCATCACAAGCGATGCACACAGGAAGGGACTCGTTGAAATGTGCAAGAACACTGTTAGAAATGAGCAAGGCCTTGACTTCTTTAAAGCAAGCCTCATGTGCTTGTGACCACAGCCACACAGCATGTTTGTCTAGTAGCCTGTGAAGAGGCTCAGCTACACTAGCTTTATGTGGAAGAAAAGAATTGTAGAAATTCAGGAGGCCTAAGAAGGCCTGAAGTTCGGCCTTGGACTTTGGCCTGGGTGCTTCTAAACTAGCAGTTAGTTTGGATTCAGCAGGATGAATCCCAGCAGCATCAATTTTGAATCCCAAAAATTCAGTAGAAGGCACCCCAATCTTGCATTTGTCTTTTCTGAGCTTGAGGCCTGATTCCCTGAATCTTAACAGGACAGCCCTAAGTCTTTCAGCTAGAATGTGTGTGGAGTCTCCTGCAATCAAGACATCGTCAGAAAGAGGTGGCGACCCTGGTATCCTTCGTAGTGTGTTTTCCTTACGCTTTGAGAAATCCAGGAGCGACATTTACTCCAAATTGTAACCTCTTTACCTTGAATGCTCCTCTATGGGTCACAATGGTCTGAGCTACAGCAGCATCATCATCAACAGGCAGCTGTTTATATGCCTGAGCTAGGTCAAGCTTTGCAAAACCACGCCCCCCCTTGAGGGAGGCCAGAATATGACTGACCACAGGAACAGGATAGGCATGTTGCTGCAATGCCTTATTCAGAGTGCATTTGTAGTCAGCACAAATGCGAATGTCCCCTTTTGCCTTTAGAGGCGTGACAATGGGGGTCTCCCAAGGACTGGAATCAACAGGTTCTAGGATTCCCTGTTGGATTAGTTTGTCTAATTCAGTATCAATCTTACTTTTTAAAGCAAAAGGGACCCTTCTTGCTTTAATCCTAATGGGAGTGACAGTGGGGTCTAGCTTTAAGGACACAGGTGGTCCTTTGAATGTGCCCAGCTGGGGGCTGAAAACATCTGCAAATTCTTTGCAGACTTCCTGTAGGTCGAGTGTTTGTAAGCTGTTGAGTCCTGTGACGTGTATCCCCAGGGCCTCAAACCAATCGAGTCCTATGAGACTTGTTCGTTCACCCCCTACTACTAATAAGTCTAGTGGACCTTCAAAACTCTTGTATTGCACGTTAAGGGTGGCCTCCCCCTTAACACACACTCTTGAGTTCTGAAAATCTGTTAATACAATATCAGAAGGCCTTAACTTGGCCTTAGTCCCACTACTGGAACAAATCTTCCTAAATGTATGCAATGAAATAATGGAAAGGGCAGACCCTGTGTCTAGTTCCATAGATAATGGAACCCCTTGTAGCTTCACGTTGAGTGACAGCTTTTTCTTCATGGGCTTGTGTGTGCCTGTTCTACAGATGCTTCTTCGCGAAGCGCAAAAACCTACCCTATTCTGGCTGGGGAATCTGGTACCCTTCAGGCGTTCTTCTTGGGGTTGTGCCTTTCGTCGGCCCAGACACACAGCTGCAATGTGCCCTTGTTTGCCGCATGCCCGCCCGCAGCAGGTAGCGGAGCGGAACTTGCAGTCGGTTCTCCTGTGGCGACCTCCACAGCCGATGCACTTGAGCGGAGCCGAAGAGCTTCCCTTCTGGTTTCTTCCTTCGCGGGGTGTAGACGGTCGACTTCTTCGTCCGGATCCTCCTCGGAGTTTCGTTGGACGTCTTCCTGGTGCACGGACGCACCCTCTGCACTGCTTCTGATCGGCCGCATGTTCTTGACGGCGCCGCCTGCTGCTTCTTCTGCGGTGACTTCCCTTAAGGCGTCTTGGAAGGATAATTCTTCCTTAGCGAAAAGTCTCTGTTGTAGCTCTCGATGCCTTAACCCGCACACGAATCGG